GAGCTGGGCAAAGGCCTTGTCTCCTTCTTCACAGCTTCTTTGCCCCCTGTGCTCTCTTTGTACCTGGGTGAAGACTTGTGATAGAGAGTACGCAGGGGTTCGTGAATAGTGACTGTGCTCAGTTTGGCACACAGTCCCCTTCTGCTGCCTGAAGATCATGATGTAGAACTCTCAGCTCCTTCTCCAGCACCATGTCTGCCTGCATACTGTTGTGCTTCCTGCCATGATGATAATGGACTGAACCTCTGAAACTGAAAGCCAGCCCCAATTAACTGTTTCCCTTTATAAGAGTTGTCGTGGTCATGGTGTCTCCTCACAGTGATAGAAACCCTAACTAAGACATTGAGTGAACACCTGGGAGTTAATATGGAGAAAACATTCTAGTCAGAACAATAAATATGAAGAGAGAATAAGGAGGGCAGATACACAGGGAATGCCACAGAGCAAGAGAAAGCCATCCTGCTGTGGACTCTGCTCCCGACAAGCCTTGGGCCCCTGTGCTGTGGATTCAGGACAGTGTTCTTGGCATCTGTCCATAGTCAGCACAGCTGGTCAAATTCCCTGCTCTACGGCACAGGGGTCATAGACGATGATATGGAGCTTGAAAGGTCTAATATAGTGTCCATATTTCCATATGTCTGCAAGCATGGAGGACAGACCATAAGATCATGTATAAGAGCTGTTTAATTAACCAGTGTCCTTTGAGACTACCTGCCCTCCTGATACCACTTCCAAGTCCAGGCTCCTAAGACCACCCTCAGAGAGGGAATTCATCCGAGCTCACAGACCATCCTGAATGCATATTAGAAGAGACGTGGACAAGGGCAGACAACGCCAGCCTGGTGGGGAACTCAAGAGGTGCCATTCCCACCATGATCAATAAATAGTAACCACATGGTGGGCTTTCTCCAGGGAGCCCACCGGGGCCAGGGCTCAACCTCGGGACTCCAGGTCCTCCTCAAATCACTCTGTTGTACTTTCTAAGTGATTGAAAACCCCAAGCTGAGGACCACAGCGGGGTCAGACTAGAAGTGATGTTTCTGCAGCCAAAGCTGGCTGCAGGGCTCAGGAAAAGGCAGGAAGTGCTGCCGTACTGCACTGAGAGTCCTGCCGGCCAGCTCTCTGCAGAGGGGCATCTCACGTGGGAGGTGGTGAAGGGACTTGTCTGTGGTCACACACTGGTGTGAGCTTTAACTGTATCCACTCTCTAACCCAGGGGAGGTGTGGTAGTCTGGATGTAATTGGCCCCCATAATCTCATAGGGAGTGGCCTTGTTGAAGTAGGTGTGGTCTTGTCGGAGGAAGTGCATCACTGTGGAAGCGGGCTTTGAGGTCTCTTTTGCTCCAGCTTTGCTTGATGTGATGGTCAACTTCCTGTTGCCTGCAAGATGTAGGACTCTCAGCTTCAACACCATGTCTGCCTGCACACCGCCATGTTCCCTGTCATGATGATAATGGACTGAACCTCTGGAACGGTAAGCGAGCCAACCCAATTAAATGTTTTCTTTATAACAGTTGCCGTGGTCATGATGTCTCTTCACAGCAATAAAAACCGTAACTAAGACAGGAGGTATCCCTTCTGCCCTTTGAGAGACAAGAACACTCGGTCCCACGAGGGCCTAGCCAGCCTGGATTGCAGCTACAGGAGGAGAGGGTCCAGGTTTCCTTTCCAAGGACAGCATAGTAAAAACAGTAGTTAGTTACCATTTTGGATGTTTTCCCCCTCAAATATGAGTCAGTCATAATAGACTGCTTTCAGACCACAGTCTGTGTAAATATATGCATGCACACACATGTGGGCTGAGGTGTACCTTCCTTTTGCCTCTGAGAGATGTAACCAACTGGAAGGATCTCCAGGCTTCAGGAAGAGCTCAAGTTGGCCATGTGGGTTGGTAGGGTGGGGGAGGACAACACCAGAGATATATTTTAAAAACGCAAAGTTATTTACGCACTGCCCTCATGGTCAGAGTTGACTATGTGAGGGGCAGTTCTGTGCCACACACCAAGTTCTATCTGAACTCCCATAACCCAGAGAAGCTGAGGGTCGGGATGAGTCCTGAAGTCAGGGCCATTTATTTATGAAGCAGCTGGTTCACAGAGGCCTCAAATATTAATACTTTCCCTGTCAGTTTATCTCTTCTTCAAGGCTTCAAAACGGTTGGGCTCAAAAGCCAGATGACCCAGCTCTGAGCTGGGCCGGAAAACAGCCCAGGCCAGTCCTGAGCAGTGACAGAAATGGTCCTCAATTGGCCCCCTGCTGACAGGAAGGAGGTTTGGAGAAAGGAACTTGCAAACTCAGATTTGACTTTTTCAGTGAGTTGTCTCTTTGCAAACTGGGGCACAGGCATGGAGAAGCTGTCGGTAGGTGTGACATGACTCAGCACTTTCTAGATAGGAAGTAAGTGGTAGCCAGGGAAATTTCTAGAAGGACACAGATTGATGGGTAAGGGTTACTGAAAAGGCAGGTCAGTGCCTCTGCAAACGAGGCAGGAAAGCTGGCCAGAGGAAAGCCTCTGGGGCTGTGGAGATATTGAGGGCTGCAGCAAGGGGAAGAGATAACTAAGGAGGGGTGGCGTGCTCCTGAGCGGAGCAGAAGACCAACATCTGTGAGTTTAAGAATTCCCCCTTGGACCCACCCTTCACTTCACTCAAAGAGCAAAGGCACCCAAGGGGGACCTCACTGTTGGTCCCCTCCTTCAGACCACCTGGGCACTCAGGCTTCAAGACAGCAGGAAGCCCGCCCTAGAGGAGAGGGATGAAGACCAAACCCAGAGTGTAACAGAACGGGAACCGTCCTGATGGATATTTCCTCAGTCTTACCTGTCACTTGTCTAGGTATCTTTCTTGCCTCCAACAACAGCAGTTTCTCAAAGACAAGACGTCCAGAACACTGTGTAAAGTTAAGAGAAGTTGTTTTTTTTTTTTTTTTTTCCTTTTTGGTATTTCGAGACAGGATTTCTCTGTGTTGGCCTGGCTGTCCTGGAACTCACTCTGTAGACCAGGCTGGCCTCAAACTCCTGCCTCTGCCTCCCAGGTGCTGGGATTAAAGGTGTGTGCCACCACCGACCAGCTGTTCAGGGAAGTTCTTGAGCAAATGTAGTCATATAATACATGTAAATACTTGCCAGCATCCATGTCTGTCATACAAGCAGGCGTTTCTATTGTGATATTGGCACGTCAGTTAGACACACGAAATATAGGATGTCCAAGGTAAATTGGGGCCTGATACCTTGAGTCACAGCAATTAAGTTGCTGTAAAGTGTCTGTGGAGGACAGGCAGACAGAGCAGCACACCTCATGCCGCGCCCTTGTTCACTCCTGCATGAAGGGAAGAAGGTTTTCTCCAAGATACGTTGTTTGAAACTCTATTCCAGTGCAGGCAGACATTCCTGCAGGAATCATGCACGCATCCTCCTTAGTATCCAGCCTTGACTCTGACAGACCCAGGGCTGGGTTGCACTCTGGACCCATAGTGAGAGAGAGACGGGGAGTCTCGGGGTGGGTAATCCACAGCCGCACAGGCGATTACGCTGCTGGCAGATACATCCTAAGAAAAATTGCTAACGGAATTGGAACTATTTAGCTCGGAGCAGGGAGAAGGCAGGCTGCAGTCATTACCCCGCAGCACTTCACGCCTCTATTTTTGGCTCCTGCAATCCCTGTATTGCAGGTTGGGGAATTTGAGGACTATTAAGGCAGTCACTGGTTATCACTGCTGCAGCCAGTCCACAGGCCCGGGAAAGGGACCTCATGCCTCCTGTCCCCTCCTAGCCCATTTTCTCCTCTGTACACCATCAGAATCACATTTTCCTTCATCGTAATGAATAGTCAGCTCGAAACAACTGACGCAAATGAGAACTTCCTTCTTCTTTCTCTAAATTGTATTTGAGATATTCTAAACTTTCCTCACCCGTGAAATGAGAGCAGGGCGAAGCAGCAGCTTACATTAAGTTGAGGTGACATCAAATCTCATCCAGCTCTATGTGCAGTGTTTTTCTTCTGACTCTGACAGAGAATTCAGGGAAGGGACATTACACAGTGTAGAGTTCCCTCCGAGGACATCAGGGCCTGCTGCACAACACCCTGCTACGCAGAAGACACCCCCGACAATGGTCACGCCCCCAAGTCCCTGTGGGTGGAGGCTGAGAGCCAGGTGTGGTTCTCACTGAATACTCAGCCGCACTGTGCTGACCTGGGCCACACTCACTGGTCCCCATCAGATCCCATTTCCTCAGAGGCCTGAAACACATGCCTCTGCTGAGCTAATCTCTGCTTCCCCACCACCTCCGTGTCCTCCAAGCTTCTGGAGACAGTACTTCTGCCCCAGTCAGAGCCTCCCTAAGAGTTCTGCCAGTTGCGTTACTTGGGTAGAGTTATTCCAACAAAACCTGGAGCCACTAGGGGCTCATCTCTACATGGGAGCATTTGGGAGCATAACTGAGCGTTACCCCAGCATGCTAATGATGGAGGTTAGGTCTGTGCACACGTCACATGAATTTGGAAGTGTTTGTCAATTTCAACCAACAATCCCAGCTGGCACACTCCTCTAATAAATGCTGTTAGTAGAAGGCAAGATGTTCCAATGAAATATGAAACCACTGTTAAAACCTCAAGGGACAGAGGAGACAATTTTCAGAAAGCCTGGCATTAGTTTAATGTGGTTCAAGCTATTTGCAGACCTCCCCTTCCTTTTCTTTTTTTTTTTTTAATAGTGTGAGGAAGTCTAATAAATTAGGAGGTTTTTTTTTTTTTTTTTTTCCTGTTTTCCGTTTGTTTCGTTTTATAGTCACTCAATTGCTCCATGGTTAAGAACAGTACTTTAAATTCTTAATATTTTATAAAATTATAAGACAATCTGCTAGTAAAATATCACTGAGGCCTCCGTGCATTGGGGTCTACTCGACCTATCAGAAGTTCAAACCAGAGGATAAACCACAAAAGGCAACTCTGGGGGCGGGGGGGGGGGGGGGGGGAGAGCAGGCTCAGCACTGGCTACAGAAATAAGACAACCAGAGGATGACAGGATCCTTTCATTGCCGCACACTTCTCACTTGGTACGGCTGTAGAAGTTACGAAAGTTCTGTGTAGAAAACGTGGGAAACACAGAAAAATCAAAAAAGGACAGAATCATTCAAATCCATTATCCCGGAGGCTCCACCATATCCCTGATCTCTGTCCCGTGTTCTTACATAGGAAGACTCACTACATCCCTGTCCTGTATTCTTATCCACCTAGGGTGGCTCACAGCAGGCCAGGTCCTTCTGAGTGCTCTTAGGTCCCTCACGATGGACAGCGCCCATGATGGACAGTAGCACAAAACTCCGAGTTGCAGACCAGGAGAGTGAAGGTCCCAGATAGTTCCAGACATTCCCAGAGGTGGTGAAGTGAGCAAGCAGCTGAGGTATTCCATCAGCCTGCTGGCAGATGTGCCTGTTTCCTTCCTACTTGGAGTCTGCTCCACCACGCAACCGACAGGCCACACGCAGTTCTACACATACCTTTGCCAGAGTCATGAATTATGCCAGTTCCATAAAACATTCTTGGGATTTTGTCGTTAATGTTTGGTTTTGGAGTCTTTTTGAGATAAGGTCTCATGTGGCCCAGCATGCCCTTGAACTGGTTATGTAGCTTAAGGAGACCTTACACTCCTGATCCGGGGTTCCACATCCGAGTACTGAAATCACAGGTATGCACTACTGTGTCCAACTTCTGTGAATACTTTTAATGGCTGCATATTTCTGTGTGTCATGAGGCTGTCACATAATCTATCAAATCAATCTATTGTTGGTTCCCATGGTTCTGATCTCTCACTGCTATGGAATATTCTTCTTGTACACTGTAAAGATTTGTCACCCAAATTGGTTTAATAAAATGCTAATTGGCCAGTAACCGGGAAGGAAGTATAGGCAGAGTGACCAAACTAAGGATGATGGGAAGGAGAAGGGTGGAGTCAGGAGTTGCCAGCCAGACACAGAGGGAGCAAGAGATGAACATGCCATGCTAATAACGATACCACCAAGTGGCAGAGTGTAAATAAGGAATATGGGTTAACTTAAATGTAAGAGCTAGTTAGTAATAAGCCTGAGCTATTGACCGAGCATTTATAATCCATATATGCCTCTGTGTGTTTATTTGGGACCAGGCAGTCAGGACAGGACATATCTACTTACACTCAGTATTGTGATGCAGATTCTGTAGACAGTCCTAGACACAAACATCAAGGACTTCAAGGGCTAGATGAGGAAGTTAGATTTTTTAGCTTGGAAGTGCTGACAGCAATCCCTGTAAGAAGCAGCAGGCTGGAAGTGGGAGGGGCAAGCCTGAGGTATCCCCTCCTCACCCCTGCAAACCCTGTGGCCAGAGCAGCCACTAATGCCCAGCTGTCTATGCCTCTCTTGTTCTGCCCGAATCTTCTCCAGGCCACTGCTGCACCCCAGCCTTACTGAAGGAAGAACTAATCTTCATTACAGTTCTGCAGATTCATTAACCTCCACAGGAAGGTGGCCATCTCCCTCACAGGCAGAAAACTCCTGCTGGTAGCTGCTCACTTGTGGAGAATGGCTTTGTTCTAATTGGGTTCTGGGGGTGAGAAGGCCATGCTCCCACACTCCTGGCTTGTTCCAGGTGTTGGGTCTGTCCTCTGTGGCTGAGCCTGGGAAGAAAGAATTTAAAGTTCATTTTAAAGGAGGAGCAGAGGCTATGGGCACTGGAATCTCAGTCTTTCTCTCTCAGGCTTGCTTTTTAACCACCCACCGAATCTGACTTTTCATTTGGCTAAATACCTAGTACGCTTCTTCTTCGACAGTTTTTGAGCCTCTGCCCTCTCGAGAGCAGTAGCTGTTTGAAGTTTCTGTGCCCAGTACATCTGACCTGGGGGTGGGGGGATGTCTCTTGGTGTGATGGGTGACCAGACAAATGTACAAGACTGACTACAGATAATGATCTACCCCCAAATGGAGAGTGGGGTCCCATTGCACAAAGGCAGGAGACAAATCTCTTCAGAATGTCTCCATTACCATAGAGTGTGGGGAGAGAAGGTGCCTACCACTCAGAACCTCATCTACTCACCAGTCAGCACGGAGCAATGCAAATACTTCAACATGTGACTCTGTCCAGCTTGAGACTGCTTCTAAGCACCAGAAAAACTGAATGCCTACCTGTCAGTATCACAGTGGTGGTGAAAGGTCCTGTGGAACACAGGACCTGTGATCACCAGGATGCTGCAGAAGAAACTCTGGATACTTGCTGGACACAATTATGAATTAAAAAAAAAAAAACCTGTGTCATGAGGCTGGAGAAAGAGCTCAGTGGTTAAGAGCATTTGTCACTTTTTCAAAGGGCCTGAGTTCAGTTCCCAACACCTACCAGATGGCTCACAATCATCCATAGCTCCAGTTCCAGGGGATCTGGCCCCCTCTTCTGACCCCTGTGGGTACCAGGCACACATGTGGTACACATCCATACACACAGGCACACATTCATATACATAAAATTTAAAATTCTTTTTTTTTTTAAACTGTGCTGTGAATGTTGTCTGACGCCTCCCCTAGACCTTGATCATGAAAGTTCACAAACATAACGCCACACAGCAATGCTGGCCGGCTTCGGACACACACATAGCTACATGTTGCAGGGGGACAGGAACCCTGTTACAGGCAAAGCAGGCTACTCTTTCCTTATCCCCTGGATAAGGAAATTCAAGGGGCTAAACCCCTCCCTTGCCAAATAGTGAGAAACCAGCTGCTTATCCCAGAGAAGTCAAGGAGAGAAACTTCTTGCAGGAAGTTGTTGTGTGGAGGACTCAGATGGAGCACTCACATGCAGTAGGTTGTTGTGTGGAGGACTCACATGGAGGACTCACATGCCAACCCTCTGGCAGCATTTCAGTTTACACAGATTTCAGAAGCACATCTCTTTCTCGAGCGACACTGACTGCTGCTTCTGCATGCAGGCACAGGCCCAGAGGACAGAGTGAGCTCTGCCTTGCAAAGTCCCTGTTCAGAGGTGGCAAGATAAGCTGAAGTGATGAGGTCTATGTTTTTGGCTGCCTCCCTTTGGAGCCCAGACAAGGTGAGGACACAGAATGATGGTAAATGTGGGAGGTGGGGAATCTAGGATACAGGATTCAAAGCAAGGAACAAAGGTGGGAAGTTGAGAAAGCTCAAAGAGAGTACACGTTCCCTGGGATGAAGAATGTTTGATCTATCAAAAGCCGGGTGGCAGGGAACACGAGAAAGGCGTGGCTGGCAGACAAGAGCTCTGGTGAAGAGTGGAGAAACAGATCTGGGGGCAGCTGGGGCAGTTGTGTAATGGACTGAAGATGTGGAACACTGCAGGCAGTCGACAGGAAGAAAAACCAGAGACAAGAGAAGCAAATGATTCCACACAGCTTCACAGTGCTCAGGAAAAGGCTGGCTATGGGGATGTGGAGGCTCCCAGAAGGCTCTTCAAGAGGGAGTCAGGCTTTGGAAGCAGAGATGAGTCTTCTAGAAGAGAAGAAGCTATGGAGATTCCAGAGCAAGGCAGACTCACGAAAGTACGCAAGTCCCCAAAGTGGACCTATGTCCGAGAAGAGGTGGCATACATAACACAAGGGGACACTAGGCTCCTTCGCGTCCCCTAAGTGCTGATGCAGGAAGAGCTAAGATGAACAGACAGGACCAGAGGTGCCAAGTGTGAGAAAAGTGTCCAGGTTTCCTTATGGATGACAGACATGTCAAACTGTCTGTGGAATGGCTACAAACACGGTAAGAGTCACAGAACTGGCCACCATGAAGTGCACAGTGTCTAATTGGATCTCATTGAAGCTGTTAATGGCAACCTAATGGAATATATCATCTTCCTTTGAAGAGCAGCCAAGAAATGAGAATTATAGTTAAATGTCTAGGAGAAAACCACCAATTTAGAAAATGTTAGCAAGGAAAGTAACTTGATATCTGCCCAAGTTAGATAAAAATGGAGGCCCAAGCTTGAAGAATGCTTTAGACGGAGCCAGGCAGGCCTCTGAAGCGACCCAGCACCCTTGGTTTGCAAACATCGGGAACACTTGGCTGTGGCTTGTAAATGCCTGTGTTAAAGAGAAGCAGAACCTAAGCTCAGGCAGTCATGTTACATAACGAGTGCCTTCCAGCGGAGACGCTGTCTATGTGGCCCCACCATTGTGACCAATCAGACTTCTGCTGTTGGCCACACTATACTGGCCCTGTGATATCCTCACTTGGTTCCTGAGCCACTTCTGGGTTGCAGATCCCCCAGTATGCTAATCTCTATGGACTCAGTGTCTCTTCAAGCTTATTGTACCTCTCCTCACTTTATAACACACAATTTACAACAGTATCCACTCACCTCCTTACTGATACAAACAGTAAACATCTATTAGCTTACAAACTCACATGATAGGCCCTGTGCTGAGGGCCAATGATGCAAAAATAAAACTACTGGCCAGTGTTTGCTAAGACAGAGAGTCAAATGTGCTCAGAATTTCCTGTTTCTTCAAAGAAATCAATTTGCAACTTCAGGTCAAGGCAACATTTACTTCGGGGGATTTTTTGCTAATCATACGCCAGTTGTGATTAGGTTATACATTAACATAGTCAGGAATGGGACCCAAATATGTCTATGAAGGTAAAGTTCTTTGAGAGTGGAAAGTTGGAGAGAACACCATGTCAATTAATAAGGCATGGTACACGTCACAGAGACTGGAATTCTGTTTAAGTAACTTCTAACTTTTATGTGGGACAATGGAAACATTAGGAACATTTGTTACCTGTGTGGTGGTGAAATGTCAGCATGTGTTATAATGTTATTTTTGTATATAAATGAACCAAAAGTATTTTTACATAAAAATGACCAAAGTGTTTTGGTGTCAAGATTGGTACCAAAATATTAACAGTGGTGAAGTTTAGATAATGGAGCTACAGGAAGTTTGCTTTTCCCTTTTGTGTTTTTTACAAGTTGATTCTTTTTTTTTCTATAATAATTATGTACTGTAGACAGAAAAATTCTAAAACATTCCTCCTTCCTAAAACAGTGGCTACCCCAAAGTGTAAATGCCTCACCCAGATGTGAACTTCACGTCATTTAGAAAAAAAACAAAACAGTGTAAGCCCACATTGGCAGAATCACTACCACTTCCCACCAACTTCCCAGGGCTTCCCTGTTGGTGGGAGAAGCTCGTGCTGGCACCAGAAACCAACAGAATGTCCCATGTCCTCCCTAGACACCTTCTGCTGATGCTGCCTTACTAAGACACAAAATACCCAGAAGCCCAGAGATGAAGCAACAAGAATTGGGAAGGTGGCGCCCAGTAGGGGATTGTGGGGACTGGCTGAAAGGCACACACACCATCCTTCTGTCTATCATGGAGAATTGGTTGTATGAATGAATGCTCCTTAGAACATCACTATGCCTGAAGGCACCAGGGGTCCTAGGGCAGGAAGCAGGACTGGTGACTTCACCACACCCATTGGATCCTGCATCCCAAGATCTCTCAGCAGCAGCATTGCTTAGTGTGTCAACCTTCCTGAGACATTTTTACAATGTTTGTAACATTTTATTTCAGTGTTTTGCTAGCTTTTAACATTTTCAGTGTCTATAATGGGTCTGGCATTCATATTACTCCATTCAACTACCGAAGGGAACAACACAGAGTTCTTGTCTTGGTTCTCAGTCTACGGGGGAGGACACTCAGACAGAGGTAAGGGATGCACAGATGCCTATGCCACCGGAGGCAGATGAGCTCGCCTGCACTGATCTACCAGACACGAATTGCGGTGGTAGTTGCTGATGAGGTCATGTTAGGTTATATGTGTTGTCCTGCTTGGGGATGTGTGTGATATTGGTAGTAGAGTTAGTTATCAGTTCAAATGTTCCATCAATTATATTTCAATTTCAAAGGATAGTAAATCAATGCTGGCATCATTCTAAAGCACTTGGGAAACACTGGATGGATAAAGCAGCCAAGTGGGGACCAACACTGAGGCTGGTAGCCCACCTGGGCCCCCAACTGTTAGCTCTTGCCAGAATCAGAGCCTACCCTGGGGTGGAATGCAGTGTTGTAGCATTTTTGAAAACTGGGCCCATAGTGAGGACAAGACACCCTAATCAATCAGTTTTATAGATATCCAAGCAGATAAGGGGACAAAGTAAGGCTGAGTGTAAAGTATTTTACAGATTCACTAAAAGGGGAAATAACAAATGAGATGGAATTTAATAGGAACAAGTTGTAATTTACATTTCAAAGAATCAAAAAAACTAAAGATTGTGATAGATCAGGGAAATGAATACCAACAACCACACAGATGAAACACAGACTTGGGGACTTGGATTGAACAAAGCCAGGGTCATCTGCAAGTGTGCTGGGTGCCAGGGAAGGATAATGAGTGCTTTAGCTGAAATAAAAACACAGAGGTACAGAGTCTGCAAAAGTGAGGGAGACAGGCTAGTTCCAGTGCATGGTCACTGTGACCCAGAGACTTGGCACAAGGTGAGGGTCTGAAAGGGGTAGCTGTAGTAAAGCTGGACCTGACCATTTCCTCCCAGGAAGAACAGGACAAGGCCAGAGACTATGAGGCCCAGAAATCACCTGGATCCCTGGATCCCTGTGAAAACACGACCAGCTGGGCACCGGCTGTGAGCTTTCCTAGAGTTGCCCTGCATATCAGTCTGCTTATCACTGCATCAAAGGCATTCCCAGCCTGCCCTGCCTCTGTCGCCACAAGTATCCTGAGGGCTGGCCAGGAGCACCTGTCCCCAGGGACAGATTGTGTTGACAAGTAGAATTACCTCAAAGGGCACAGGCCCCAAAAGCAGTCATTTCCTGCGGAACATGGTGGCCTTCCAAAGATACAATGCCTGGGCTCCTGAGCTCTAAATCCAGTGAACGGTTTCCAGGGAGAAAACGCCTCTCTCCCAGGCCTGGTGCAGGACTGAAGCTGGAAAAAAAAAAAAACATTGCCATCTCCATGCAAACAACGACACAGCGGCCACAAGGGGCCTGCTGCCACCAGATCTGTAGAAGGCCCCAATTAAAGCGGGAAGCCCACACCTCCTGGTGACTTGTGCTCCAGGTCCCATAGTTGGAACTTGTCCATAGACTGGAAACTCACACCTCACCCTTCAGTGTCTCCGGAGTTTGTTTAGAAGAGCTGTGTTTCCTTCTCTTGAGGAGCGAGTCCGTGCATCTCAAATGGCACAGCGTGCGAGCTCAGGTGAGTGAGTCCCTTCCTCGGTATGGTATGAGTGACTGTGCAGGTGTGTGTAAGAATGAGTGTGTGCATGCCAGTGTATCTGATTGTGTGTGAGAGAGCACCCTGTTTGCTCCCGAGTGTGTGTATGTGAGTAAGTGCCTATGCATAAACCATGAGTGTGTGCCTGTGTGCTTGTATAAGTGCCCTAGGTTGTGTATGGGTGGTGAATGTGGGTACTAGTGAACATGTGAGTTCATAGGTGTGTGCCTGTGTAGCTATGTGTGCCTTTTTGAGTGTGGTTGAATGTTGAGAGTAGAAGCCCATGTGTTTGAGTGCGTGGGTGCGGAAGCGCACGCCTTTGTCCTTCCTCGGCCCCATAGTCCCGCACGGTGCCCAAAGAAGCCAACCTCGAGCTCCCCCAACTGTGACGGGGGTCCTCGCCCTGGGACCCTCTGGGCACGAGGGGGCGCCTCGCTACCGTAGCCGGGACGCGCTGGCCCGGGCGGCCCGGGGGCGGCTCACGGGGCGGTGCCGGACTCTGAGCTGTGGGCTCTGGGGACGCTGCGCTCCGCCCCGAGGAGCCACGGCCGGGCAAGCGGAGCAAGCAGCCAGAAGCCCGGGCCGGAGGTAAAGTTGAATTTACAGTGTGTGGCCGGAGTCTGCTCCGATCGTTCCTGGGACCGTTCGGGAACAGGGGCGTAGCTGCGAAAGGGGTCTGTGCGGCGGAGCGCGGGCCCTAGCGGAGCGTGGGCACCTGTCCGCGGGCGGCCACAGGCGGGAACGCAGTTCGGTTAGGGTGGTTGGCCACGCTGAGGGCGCCGTAGCCCACGGAGGGGCGCTCGAGGGGTCGGGCCGGGCTGGGGCAAGCGGAGCGGGGTCGCCCGCGCGCCACGCGCTGGAAGCCGGAGGACGGGGCTCGGCCGCGTGGTGCGCTTTCATGGAGGTTCGGGCGGCCGCCAGAGGCTGGGTCCTGCTGCCGCCCCGTCTGCCCGCGTCGGTTCTACCGGATCCTCGGTAAGAAGGAGAGAGGAGGGCAGAGGAGGGCAGAGGAGGGCAGAGGAGGTCTGCATCCGGGAAGGGGCCAGGGCTCTCCCGGACGGTCCCGGGCTTGAAGGCTGTACGCACCCGCTTCGGGAGAGAGGTGACTGGGCGAGTCCGCGGTGCTGGTTCCCTTTTCTGGTCCGAGGTGGTGAAGTGAACGCCCACCCACCCACCGCTTACACGCACAGACTCGTGCACACGCGCTTTGCACGCTCGGCTGTCCTGCTAACCTTCCTTCTCTAACCTTCCAGGGCGCCGGCTTGAATCGGGTGCGGGTTCCGGCTCCCGCACTCCGAATTCTGCAAAGTCTGTCCTCCCCAGCTCGGACAGCTACATCTTGGTTGGGACAGTGGCGCCAGGAGTGAGGACTGTTGGGCGCGGAGGGGGGGGTCTGAGCCTGGGCAGGCGTGTGCGGAAGGTGAGCTGGTTCCTATGCGCCCTGTCCAATCTCGCGATTTGGGGGGCACCCCACGCGTGTTTGCCACCGAATGGTTTTCGAGTGTGGAAGACCCTTGTCTCAATTGAGTTCTGACTCTTGAAGCACTGCCCCGCGAGGAAGCACTGAGGTCATGTGCTGTCCTCGGGACCCTTTTGGTCATGTCCAAATTCTCCTGCTCTTGGACCCTGGAGTTTAGGAGCTCGGATGCAAACTTGTCCTTGGCCCTTTGAGGTCCTAGATATCCTCCCTGGCATCCTCTGCCCTCTTTTGTCCCCGCTTTGCCCTTGGCTTAAAAAGGCCAGGCCAGCATTCGGAGCAATGGCATGCTGTGAATAATGGATTTTGATCCAGTCTGGAACTCTGGGAGTGATTAAGTAGTGCTTACCCTGTGGCCCTGCCCTTGGGTCAGTTAAGTAAACCGCTCCCCCAAACCCCTTACAGGATTGGCCTTCAGCAAGTGGTTTTCATTTCTTCAGATGTCAGGGCCAGGGCATCCACAAGCACCAAAGACAAGAGGACTGTCCTCTCTTCCCTCTTGGGCCGTGCAGGACTTTCACTGGCCTCTGGCTGGCTTGGGTAGGTTGTGGGTGGGATTGCTGTGTTCCCTTACACTATGAACCGGGGGGCGCGGGGGCGGGGGTGGCACACCGGGGGTGAAACCCACTTGCCTGGGTGCCCCTGTTCTGTATGGTCTACACAGACACAGGCACACTCACAGTGCTGTCCGGAGAGGGCTCTTGTTTCCGGGTCTCTTTGGGAGAGACTGATGACAGCTTCCCAAGACCAGTGCCAGTTTATACATTACATCTTGCGTTCCCCCACCCCCGCCTTGAGGTTGCCATAATTAAAACAAAACAAAATCAAGCTGGGTGTTTGTGGAGGCAGGGGAAGAGTGGGGAGTGAGCTCCCAGCTGACACCGACTGTGACACCGACTGGAGCTGGTGGTTTTCCTTTCCCACTGCCTAGCAGAGCCATGCGTGGGCCAGATGCTCAGAAAATGTGTACTGGTTGATTAATTGTTTGAGTTATAATTAAGAGGTTCTACCTAGTGTATGGCTGGGATCGGCATTATCCTAATTACAGGTGTGTGCGCCGTAATTAGTAGGTCCTGTGAAACACATAGGTTGATAGGAAATGATAAAATGTTGGGGTTTGCCCTGGCAAGGGCAGCTCCTAAGCTTCTCTGAGTTGGAGGAGGATGGGTTGAGGCAGATATGATGAGGCTTGGGGTCCTCTTTCCCCTAGTTCTGGGCTGGTCTTCTGGAAGAAGTGTGTCTCACCAAGCATCCAGAGCAGCGTAAGCCACGGGTGCCTGGAGATGGGGAGAGTGTTATCCGCTCGGAAACCCTATGCAGATATGTGGGGGCAGACTGGAGGGGAGCAGATGTGTGGCAGTGAGTGTGTAGGTGCTGAAGGCAGGCAGAGCTGAATGGTGAGGCTGGCCTCTGGTCCAAAATGGTGCTTTGGGTCTGAAGATCTGAGTGCCTGCCCACAGATGGTCATTTGGTGAGGAACAGAAACATCCAGAGCTAACACCATCCATCCAGGGATACTCTAAAGGGTAGAGACTCAAGGAGCTCTCCACTTCTAGGGTGGAAGTTCTTACTGAACAGAGACTGCCGTGGGATGGCTCCCGCCATGAGGAGAGGCAACCACGTTGCTAGGGGCTGGTTCACTGAAGCCTCCACAGTGGCTGACTGACAGCCACTGAACCACAGCTGGCTTGCAAAATGCCCTCCCTACCCCCAAGGCTGAGTCAGAACTGCCTTTAACAGAGGTCCCATCTTCACCTTCCAGAACTGAAAGGAACTTGGGATCCCTTTCTGGGGCAAAGACACCCCCCACACACACACCAGTTTCTCAAGTCCACCAACTTCCTTAAGCAGAATCCCAGTGGTTCCTTTTCCCAGTCAGACTCAGGAGGGAGCCAGTACAGGCACTAACATCTCCAGTGAGTTGGAGGAGGTTGGGCCATGGCAGATATGATGAGGCTTGGGGGCCCTTTCTCCCTCCCCCTTTCCTATACAGCTTGGAGGAAGACACTTGAGAAGCAGCCATCCATCCAACCAATGGTCACATTCCCCTGAGGACACAGGCACAGCAAACATGGGTCTCCCTGCCTACAGCTGTGGGGCAGTCTGCAGGGCTCATGTAGAACTTAGTCCCTGAATCATGTAAGAGGCTGCCCCAAATGACATGGCTGCACTTTATGGATTTGTTCATAAAGTAAAACACAAACCACATTCCGTGAGAAATACCCAACATTTTGATTTGACTGTGAGTTCAGAAACAGACTAATTGAAATGCGAATGTAGTACAGAAACCTTCCCCAAAGAGAGGGAACCTGTGGTAAGAGACACATCAGCAAAGGCCTGGTTCCAGTGGCTCTAGGCCCTTGGGCACAGCTACCTCTCTGTCACCTCTCTGTCACTCTCCCTGATGAGTCATGACACCTCTTAGTTTAGCACTTCCTCTTTCTCAGCACCCCAGTTTCCTCCACCAAGGCAGCTCCCCAAGATCTGGGGTCCAGTGAGGAACCCTGCAGGGTGCAGGCAATAGCCCAAGAACTCGGCGACTCTCCTGGGTATTCCCAACCTCCTTAGATATTCAAACAGTAGCGTTTAGATGTTAGACTAGACCTGAGTGGTGCCTTGAAATCAAAGGCTAGAATTCAGGGCCTCCACTAAGCCTCCAAACCCTCTGGCTCATGTGAATACGGGGGCAGTTTTAGCTAAATTCCGTCCCTAAGAGGCAGATTTATTTTTGTCAAGGCTTGGCTGTGGTGGGAAGGGCTGTGGGATCCATTTGTGCCTGACTCTAGGCTCTACTCTGTGTGGCTTCCTGGCTCTGGAAACATCCTTTAACTGGTGGGCTTCTCGGGGTTCAGTGGCCACTGTGTTGTCACATATCATTCTACCCTCCCAAGTAAAGAGGGATCCGAGGGTCCTCCAGACAGCCTGGCACGCATACCACTTGGCTGATCCACATTAGGCCATGCCCTGGGGGGCAGGCTCTAGTATAGTGTGAAGGTGGGGCCTGGGGATGTAGATTCTGAATGTGGCTCCTAAGTGAGTCTGTGTGTGTGTGTGTGTGTGTGTGTGTGTGTGTGTGTGTGTGTGCAGACCTAAGTGTGCCAGAGCATGTGTGTGGAAGTCAGAGTAAATCTCGGCTACTGGTCCTCACTGTCCACCTTGTTTGAGACAGGGTCTGTTTGTGGTACATCACTGGCACCTGAGCCTCCAGGAATTCTCCTGCTTCCTTCCTCGAAGGCGAGGCTCTTCATATATCGCCCTGGTTTATTGCACAGGAAGCTTGTGTAGGATGAATGTCTAAACCAATTACCTCTCAAAGGCTCCATCCCTAAACACACAGTGGGATTAACTGTTCGCCTCCTTAATACATTAGCATTTGGGGGCCTGAACTCCTGAATGAGTTAAACTATATTTGAAACAGCAGAGATTGCCAGGCATGGTGGCTAACGCCTTTAATCCCAGCACTGGGAGGCAGAGGCAGGTGGATCTCTGTGAGTTCGAGGCCAGCCTGGTCTACAA